AATAAATACTATTTTTTATAAAAAATAATAGTGAAAAGGAAAGCTAAAAAGACAGATCAGCAAATCTTCAAAGTTGGACGAAGGAAGACAATTAGACAAGATAGTTCTACGTTGACTCGTAGTTATGTCAATCTTTGGGCCTTTCATCTCGAGCGAGTCCAATAACGAGTGATGGGCCATAACCCGTAAATTCCACTTTCACACGGACGGACTGCTAGTCAATTCCAGCCCATCCTCGTGCCCACAATCTTATGATTCTTTTGTCACAATCTTATGATTCTTTTCTCAATATTCAGGGGCTAGGCATGAGGTAGGATTATTCTTCTTTTGCCGTGTACCTATCAATGGAAATGCGACTTTGAGAACCTCATGGGGACCATGTCCGTCACGGAACGCAATGAATTTATTCTGCCAGTGATTCTAGATAAAAAGGAAATTCCATTCCCCCCATCATTTGTCAGAGATAGAATAAGTAATCTCAACGAATAATAGAAAAGTAGATTCAAAGTGATGAGCAGACGTGGGGGAATCCAAAACCCCACTCTTTCCATGCCTACAAATAGGCTCCATTGCTTTCTTGTACGAACAAGCAGCCAAGAAAGCTTGTCTTCTCTCGTTTGAGAATTGAGATTTGAGATGGCCTCAATGCATTGCTACAAGCCTGCTCAGAAGAGCTACTACCAAGAACAGGAAGAGTTCTCCTACAGTGAGGAGGAGACAGCTAACTGGTCCCTCAATGGCCGTAGGAGCCACCATGGAGGCTTTCAAGGTTATACCCAGAAGGAAAGCTACATCGAGTCTGATCGCAGCCAATACTTAAACAATGGAATGAACAAGTCCCATGCCCGGTATGGTTATGGGCAAGCCGATTACCCAAATGGCTGCAACGCCTATGGCAACCAATACTTCGGCTACGAGAAGGCAACAGCCATAGCTGAGGGTGGTGAGGGCATGGGCCAGGCTTATGGGCACCACAAGGCATCCCATGGGATGGTGATTTACGAAGAGAAAACCAAAGTGAAGGGTAAGTTCAAGACAGGTCAGTTCGAGAGGATCAACCTCAACAGGTCTGATGATAGCTGCAGTGACAGTGAGGATGAGTGCGATGAAGAGTATCGTGGGAGGAGAAAGGCAAGTTACATATGATTAAATTGATGATCATGACCATGAATTAATGAGCACACACGTATATGCCACAATTCTCTTCTAAAAGTCATGCAAGTTTCCCTATCATTTACCCTTCTTTCTCTTTTTTCTGTCTTCTGCAGTATCACTGCCGATAAGCGGTGATTCAGGATCAATGCTGCATATGATCAAGAACTAAATAGCAGTATGAAAATAAGCATTTATCAATAAGCAACCTGGAGTTGAATGGCAAGAGAAGATTATATGCAGCTTCTGAATATGGTATACCTTACAATGTAATGAAAAGTAATACGGTGTGCTAGTTAAATAAAAAATGGTTATCTTAATTTATTAATAATTGACATGTGGAAAATCCCTCCTTGTCTACTCTATATCCTTAAATGTATCCTACTTTGATATACACCCTACATAAAGACCCTGGTTAGGCAGAGCATACATGCACAAAGATATATTTACAACAGCAGACAGCCAAGAGAAAATGATGTGTAGAAAACACTGGCAGCAGGATATGGATCAATCCAAGGACAAAGGATCTGAGTACCTAACAACATCAGGGACACAATATAACGGGCATAGCCTTGATCAAATCACAACACCAGTTGACTAGATTATTGCCAGATTGCTAATAGAAACAAACAATAAGATCAGACAATTTCTTCTAGTAGTTTGAATCTAAAACATCTACATAAAATAATGTATTTAATTGTGTTGATATTGTACAATCTCTTTTCCTTCAGATCAAAGGTGACAATTCTCACCCTAAAAAGGGGCTCCAAATATTGCAATATATCAAATATTCAACATAAAGACATTCAATTAATTAGCTTCATTTGCTTCAAGAGCAGTTTTAAGAGACTATATAGCAGCAATGTTTAGTAATTTGAATTCTGTTGATCCCTCTGACCTTACATTTAAAGCTAGGCAGTCCACATCATTGTCCTTTTTCTGGCCAATTTTGTACCAATTCCCAAATACATTCAAGTTATGGCTTTTCCTATAATTGTTTAACTATAATTATATCTTTCATGAATGACATAATTTAAGAAACCTTGACAAAGATTATAAAAAACTAGAATGTAAGTTTTTCTTCAATAACAACTAAAAACGATATTTCATCCAAATTGATTGAGTTCTTGGCTGATCTAACCTCTACTGACAACCATAGAAACTGAAGTGCCAGATTTAAAACTTCTAGAAAAGAGTAGATGCTGTACATTTTGGGGTTTAATAAAGAAAATATTTGTGATAATTCTACACAATTTTACATTTCCCACAAAAGAATAAACAAGATTGTGGTTTCTTTCTAATATTAATTAAACACAAATACCATTTTTTCTGAAGATTAGGAATATTTCAAGTTCAATAAACAAATAGAATGAAAACATACAAGCATATTTCATTATCTCCACACAAAAATTGAATTTAGTGCTCCCATTGAATACCATGTCTGTCAGCATTTCCCTTCATGCATTTTCCCTATCAAATATATTCTTGAAGACAACCTATCCCACAAATCATCCTCACATTATTCAATATATCAATCATACACATTTCCATTAAATTAATGTTTCCTCAGGAAGAAATTTCTCCACAGTTATGCATTTTCAAAGATAGTATTAAATACAAAATAAATAAATAAATAAATAAATAAATAAAAGAAGAAGAGGAAAATTTGGAATTTATTCTACCACTTATCACTTCACAAAAACGAATCCATTTCTCACTCTTGTGCAGAGAAAGGGAAAACGAATACTCCCTCTCCATATGCATAATAAATTAAATATATGCACTCCCAAAAATGCTTAAATCACCATTAAAAAAAAAAAAAAGAGAAAGAAGAGAGAGAGGAGTTTTGGTACCTTGCTTAGTGGATGGTATACAGAGCAAACAGTGCATTTTACTAGGGCGTAACTTACAAACTCATACTAGCTATCACCAAGAAGAAATAGAACAGAAATAAAAAACAAATAAATTAAAGATAAAATACAAACAAATAAACAGTACTATAAGAAATAATCATACCAACCAAGACATCATCCTATTCTCCATCTAGTTTAAACATGTCACTTCTCATGAAGAGACTGGGTTCTTCCAGTGTTAGTCACGATTCTCCTTTTACGGTTTCAGAGCACTATGGACAAATCTGTTTTGATGTAGATGAAAGATGAGTTGTATGGCTACAACATTAACCACAAAATGTCAGGAATTTATTCTGCCAGTCATTTTCTTTGATAAAGGAAAATGGGAAATGCTTTTCCTGTGTCTTTCTTTGTGACTTATGAGCTGGAATCAGTGCTGTCTAAGCTCATGTAATGGACAAAAAAAA